AAATTATAAATCAGGCCGGCGCCGCGGCTCACTAGGCTAATCCTCCGCCTAGCGGCGCCGGCACACCGGGTTCTAGTCCCGGTCGGGGCGCCGGATTCTGTCCCGGTTGCCCCTCTTCCAGGCCAGCCCTCTGCTGTGGCCAGGGAGCGCAGTGGAGGATGGCCCAGATGCTTGGGCCCTGCACCCCATGGGAGACCAGGAAAAGCACCTGGCTCCTGGCTCCTGCCATCGGATCAGCGCGGTGCGCCGGCCGCAGCGCGCCAGCTGCGGCGGTCATTGGAGGGTGAACCAACGGCAAAAGGAAGACCTTTCTCTCTCTGTCTCTCTCTCTCACTGTCCACTCTGCCTGTCAAAAAAAAAAAATTATAAATCAGATCTGACTTTTACAAGGATAACAAACGTCTCCATTATCTGGAACTATTCTAAAAGAAAGAAATTCTTGAAAAGCACCTGTAATCATTATATGTATTCTTCACTATTTCTTGGAAAAAGCCCAAGTGAGGTTTAGGTCCTGCAGTTTCAAAGCTAACAGGCTTCACCATGCAAAGCTTGGAAGCTCTGACCTAAGGCTTTGTCCTCCTCAACTCTCAGCTGCATTCACTCAACCTACTCAACTACAGCCCACCCACTTTTTCCTTATTAGTAGTATACTCAGTAATAAGCAAAAGATATCACTATATAGCTGGTATGTGGCTTTGTCTCTAATTCTCTTTTTTATTTCCTTTTTTTTTTTAATATTTTTTAATTTATTTGACAGAGTTAGACAGTGAGAGAGAGACAGAGAGAAAGGTCTTCCTTCCATTGGTTCACCCCCCAAATGGCCGCCACGGCAAGCGCTGTGCCAATCCAAAGCCAGGAGCCAGGTACTTCCTCCTGGTCTCCCACATGGGTGCAGGTGCCCAAGCACTTGGGCCATCCTCCACTGCCCTCCCGGGCCACAGCAGAGAGCTGGACTGGAAGAGGAGCAGCCAGGACTAAAACCTAGCGCCCATATGGGATGCCGGCGCCACAGGTGGAGGATTAGCCAAGTGAGCCACGGCACTGGCTCCCATCTAATTTTCTTTTTTAAGAAGACTTTAAAGTGATTGTTATTATTAACCCAGATTCACAGTAGAGAAATAGCTTTGCTCAAAGAAATTGAGGTAGACAAAGAATTTTATAGTTGATGTTAACACCTGAAAGTAGGTATGAAACAAGTTTTTACAGATTGAAGGAGCACTGCAGATATGACTGCACATAATGATATCTTTGTTCACTCTTTTTTGGGGTAAAAATTAACTTGTTTGAAAGGCATAGTGACAGAGAGAGGGAAACAGAGAAAGAGGGAGGGAGCAAGCGAGCAAGAGACTCTTCCATCTGCCATTTCACTATCCAAATATCCACAAAGGCCAGGACTGCCAGGCCAAAGCTGGGAGCCTGGAACTCTATCTGGGTCTCCCACATGGACAAAGGGGCCCAAGCACTTGGATCATCTTCCTCTGCTTTCCCAGGCACATCGTTAATGAGCTGCAATGGAAGCAGAGTAACCAGGATAAAACCAGTGCCCATATGGGATGCCTGATTTCACTTCCTAAATGGCCATGAGAGCCACGGAAGAATAAGGCTGAAACCAGGAGCCAGGAATTTCCTCAGAGCCTCCCACATGGGTGACATTGGCCCAGGCACTTGGTCTATCTTCTGCTGCATTCCCAGGTTCATTAGCAAAAGTGACACTACCCGGACTCAAACCAGCACTCTGATGGGGATGCTAGTGTTGAAAGTGGAAGGTTAACCTGCTGCCCCACAACACTGGCCCCACAGTGGATGTCTTTTGAAGTGGCTACTGAAGGGAATATTAATTCAGCGTATTTCCTAAATGAAAGCAAGTCAGGAGGATAACCTTCAGTGTCTTTGAAAAGTGATTGTAAAAGTGTCTAAGTGCGCTTTTTAAAAGCACCTGCAAATGGTCATTAAAAACACAGATTCTTAGGCCTACCTTTCATATTTTGGTTTAAAAAAACAGTAAGCATCATATTTATACATTACTTCACTATAAATAATGAATTTGCTCATACAATCGAATGTTTAATAGGAATGCTTACTCACATCCTAACCAGGACATAGCACCTTCAGTGGTGACTATTTTGCTATTTGCAGCAAAATCAATGCAGAAGGTTTGTTATAGGATGTTATAAATAATTTTGAACTCACAAAATTAGTGATATCAACAGTAATAATTGATTAGGAAAAAATGCTAAACTCCTATTTTTAAGGTTTATTTATTTAATTATTTATTTATCTTTATTTGAAAGGCAGAGCAACAGAGAAAGAGAGAGAGAGATCTTCCATCTGCTGGCTCACTTCCCAAATGCCTACAACAGCCAGTTCTGGGCCAGGCGAAAGCCAGCAACTAGGAATTTCATCCTGGACTCCCACAAGGGTATAAGGAACCCAAGTACTCCAGCCATCTTATGCTGCCTTCTCAGGTGCATTACCAGAGAGCCAGGTCAGAAACATAGCAACTGGGACTGGAACCAGCATTATGATATGTAACACCAGCATTATAAATAGGGACATAACCTACTGCACCAAAATGCTGGCCACTGAACCCATATATCTTGTATGGACAAGACATATACGGGGGCCGGTGCTGTGGCGTAGCATGTAAAGATGCCGCCTGCAGTAGGAGCATCCCATATGGGTGCCAGTTCTAGTCCAGGCTGCTTTACTTCCAATCCAGCTCTCTGCTATGGCCTGGGAAAGTAGTAGAAGGCGGCCCAAGTCCTTGGGCCCCAGCACCCACATGGGAGACCCGGAAGAAGCTCCTGGCTCTGGGCTTCAGATTAGTGCAGCTCTGGCCATTGTGGCCATCTGGGGAGTGAACCAGCAGATGGAAGACCTCTCTCCTCTCTTTCTCTTCCTCTCTCTTCCTCTCTCTCTTTCTCTCTCTCTCTCTGTAACTCTTTCAAATAAATAAATAAATCTTTTAAAAAAAAAGACATATAAGGAGACAACCCCAGTACTTGAACGCAATGATGTGGCATGTAAACCTAGGCCCCACTAAACCCAGATGCCTGACCCAACAATAAGGATCATTAGCCCTGATGTCAACAAAGGCTGCTTGGAGTGAATTTTTCACCTAGGTTGCTGGTTAGTAAGCCTTATTTGCAGCCAGCCCTTCTGAAGCCATAAAAGTCATGTAACTATTTGTTGTCTGCTACTCACACATAGAAATTTGGGGGATTTCATCAGAAATCTACTTTCACTGAAATGTATCCATTGGTAATAAATTGTAGGGGTAGAGAATAGCCTCAAGATACCTCTAACAAGACTAATGAAAAATAGGGATGTTTCTTAATCATCTAAATTGGCTAGGGCCATGTCACAGAAGTAACACATTGAATGAAATACACACATGTGCACCTCTAAAAATTTTTAAAGATTTATTTATTTGAAAGGTAGAGTTACGGGACCAGCACTGCGGCATAGTGAGCTAAGCCTCCACCTGTGGTGCCAGCATCCTATATGGGTGCCAATTCGTGTCCCAGCTGCTCCTCTTCTGATCCAGCTCTCTGCTTATGACCTGGAAAAACAGTAGAAGTGCTTGGACCCCATCACTTGCATGGGGAGACTTAGAACAACTCCTAGCTCCTGGCCTCAGATCAGCCCAGCTCCAGCTGTTGTGGCCAATTTGGGGAGTGAACCAGCGAATAGAAGGTTTTTCTGTCTGTAACTCTACTTCTCAAATACATAAATAAAAAATCTTGAAAGAGAGAGAGAGAGACAGAAAGAGAGAGAAAGAAAGAAAGACAGAGAGAGAGAGAGAGAGAGAGAGAGAGAGAGAAATTCACTTCACAAATGGCCACAATGGTCAGGGCTTAGCCAGGCCAAAGCCAGGAGCCAGGAGCTTCATCCAATTCTCCCATATAGGTTCAGGGGCCCAAGGACTTAGGTCATCTTCCATTGCTTCTCCAGGCACATTAGCAGGGAGCTGGATCAGAAGTGGAGAAGCCAGGACTTGAACCAGTGCCCATATAGGTTGCTGGCGTCACAAGCAGAAGCTTTACCTGCTTCCGGCCCCTAATTTTTAAAAAGTATTTATTTATTTGAAAGGCAGGGATAGAAGGAGGGAGGTAGAGAGAGAGATAAAGAAAGAGAAAGAGAGAAATCTTCCAGTGACTGTTCACTCCCCCAAATGCCTGCAACAGCTGGAGTTGAGCCACGCTAAAAGCAAGAATCCCAGAACTCAATCCAGGTCTTCCACGTGAGTGGCAGGGCCCCAGGTAATTAAGTTATCACCTGCAGCCTACCAGGCGCTCATGAGCAGAAGGCGGGAATCAGGAGAAAAGCCAGGGAGACTCAGACCCAGGCACTCCAATGTGGCACGTGGGTATCCGAAGCGGCATGTTCACCCCTGAGACAAATGCCCGTCCCACCTGTGTGCTTTACTATCATCCTTAGATGAGTCTGAAGCAGGTGGTCTGTAAATTATACATTATGAAACACTCATTTAAGAAAGGACATATTCAATTGCAAATGGACTTAAGAAACCTAGTCTTTAATAAAAGAGTTTAGAAGCTAACAAAATTTGGGGAGAAGTCAACAGCGGATTGATATGACTTTAGGAAGATAGACCCTCAAAAAGGTGGTGAAAATATTATGACAAGATGACTGATAGAGTGGGCCTTCATTTCTCTTAAATTTGCACTTGAAAACTTAACCTCTTTTCATATTTACATGTAGTATTTAGTTTAATCTCTAGCAAGCAGATATCTGTTAAACAATTATTTGAATTTCAGTCACTTGAACTATTTTTGTTTTACATAATCATCTATTTGAGAAAATCCAATTCTTTCTGAAGCTTATCAGTAACACTTGGGCAATATTTGTGGTTTATACAGTATTGTGCTTATTATTTTCTTTTTTATTGAAATATGTTGCTTAATAGTGGTTACATATGGGCTCATTGATTTTCTAACTAGTTGTAAAAGATAAGATACATCGATATTTTCTCATTTTAGGGATGAGGGTGGTACAGTTAACCTTCCCGGGCTAACAATTCATGACGAAGTGGTTCCTAATTATTAGCTTAAAAATTCACAGACCGTCTTCTCAGAATTTACAACAGTGCTTGGAATGGTTCATGAAACAAACGGAATTAAAAGGTATGTTTATGGGGCTGGTGTTGTGGTGCAGAGGGTTAAAACCCTGGCCTGAAGTTACGGCATCCCATATGGGCACCGGTTCTAGTCCCAGCTGCTCCTTTTCTGATCCAGCTCTCTGCTATGGCCTGGGATAGCAGTAGAAGATGGCCCAAGTCCTTGGGCCCCTGCACCTACGTGGGAGACTGGGAAGAAGCTCCTGGATCCTGGCGTCGGATTGGCACAACTCCAGCTGTTGCAGCCATCTGGGGAGTGAACCAGCAGATGGAAGACCTCTCTCTTTTTAACTCTTTCAAATAAATAAAATAAATCTTAAAACAAAAAAAAAAGATGTTTATTTCAGTGTGAGAGGACTTTTAAAACTATGCATTTTTTATAATACACATTTTCCATGAGCATTTTGAAGTGCTTGCAACCAGTAATTTCAATAAACCCAACAGTCAACTAGATATCCACGCAAATGATGGGCCTTCAAAATGTTTGTGGTGGGGTCAGCACTGTGGCATAGAAGATTAAAGGCTCTACCTGCAGTGCCAGCATCCCATATGGGTGCCGGTTCTAGTCCTGGCTGCTCCTCTTCCAGTCCAGCTCCCTGTTAATGGTCTGGGAAAGCAGCAGAGGATTGCCCAAGTCTTTGGGCCCCTGCACCTATGTGGGAGACCTGGAGGAAGCTCCTGGCTCTTGGCTTTGGCCAATTGTGGCCATTTGGGGAGTGAACTATCAGATGAATGATTAGCTCTCTCTCTCTTTTTCTCTCTGTATCTCTGTCTTTCAAGTAAATAAATCTTTTTTTAAAAAAAAGTTCATGGAAAATGTGATTTATTAAAAAGCTATGCATGGGCCGGCACCATGGCACAATAGGCTAATCCTCCACCTGTGGCACCGGCACACTGGGTTCTAGTCCCGGTCGGGGTGCCAGATTCTGTCCCGGTTGCCCCTCTTCCAGGCCAGCTCTCTGCTGTGGCCCGGAAGTGCAATGGAGGATGGCCCAAGTGCTTGGGCCCTGCACCCCGTGGCAGACCAGGAGTAGCACTTGATTCCTGGCTTCGGATCAGCACAGTGCGCCAGCCGCGGCGACCATTGGAGGGTGAACCAACAGCAAAGGAAGACCTTTCTCTCTGTCTCTCTCTCTCTCCACTCTGCCTGTCCAAAAAAAAAAAAAAAAAAAAAAAGCTATGCACGGATTTCAAAATTTTTTCACCAAGATAAATTTATATTTTAATTTCATTTTTCATGAACTTGTTGAAATACCCTCAGATTTAAAATTCAATGTTTTTAAAACTATAAAATTGAAAGACACTATAAATACCTCTATGTTGTGAATTAAAATTATCTTTTAGAGATGGCTTAGTTGTTAATAAATCTCAATAGCAGTTTTTAGAATTGCTTTTTAAAATAAAATATCCTGCAAGAAATATAATATTGAACGTTTTCTTCAATTACAGTAATAAAAGTCATTACAATTAAGAGTTTCTTAAACTCAGATTTAAGATTTAAAGATTTAGATTTTTACACTTGTAAAGTGTCAAAAACTTTGATACTTGGCAAACAGCAGCATTCTCAGTCTCCCAACAATGATTGACAGACACAGTCGGTTACCTCATTCCTCCCTTAATAGAACAGTGACAGGAAGGCTTAGTTTCCTTAGTCCAAATATGAACATGAGTTTACTTCTAGCAAAGCTCATTCCCATGCCCTCATACCAGTGTGTAACACCTCCGAGTTCAGAAAACTGCATTTGTGTAGGTGTAGTCTCTTCTGAGCGTTTGGCCCTTCTAAGTTTTAAAAACCATTTAATTCTTCTCTCTATAAGTATTTATTGAGTGCCACTGTTTCCTACGCATGCTATAGATGAAAAGAACACAATGGTGAAAAATTGTCAAAGTCCTATCATCACAAAATGTCGTTTTAGAGATGGTTATGGACATGAACATCTTTGTCTGGTGCTATAGCATGAAGGAAATGATTTCGGCTGGTGTATGTTCTTTCTATACCTAATTTGTTGTAGGATTTTATCTTCAATGGATTTGAATTTTATTGAATCATTTTTCTCCATTTATTGACATAATCACATGATTTTTATCTTTTATTGATGTATTATGTTTATTGATTTGTGTATGTTAAACCATCCTTACATCCTGGGATAAATGCCACATGTGTATTGTTGAATTCAGTTTGCTAATATTTTTTGAGAAATTTTGCATCTTTGTTCATCAAGGATATTGGTTTATAATTTTCTTTTTGTTTATGTGTCCTTGTCTGGTTTTGTGATCAAGGAAATTTTTAGCTTTGTCAGAGTGCTGAATAGTTCCCTTACATTCAACCATTTTTTTTAATAGTTAGGTAGTTTCTGTTAGTTCTTCTTTTAAAGTTTGTTGCAATATGGCAGTGAAGTAATTTGCTATTAGACTGGTCTTTGGAGATTTTCTATTATTGATTTAATTTCATCACTGGTTACTGGACTGTTCAGATTTTCTGTATTTTCATGGTTCAATTTTGGTAAGTTATATGTAACCAGGAATTTATCTATTTCTTGTAGGTTTTCTAATTTTTTCACATTTATTTGTCCAGAATAGTTACTAATGATCTCTTGTATTTCTATGGTATCAGCTTTAGTACTTTCTTTTTTATCTCTGATTTTATTAGGAATCTGCTCTTTTTTTCTTAATTTAGGTAATGGTTATAAATTTTACTTATTTTTTCGTAAACCAACTCTTCATTTAATTAATTTTTTTTTTTAGTTTCTATTTCATTTAGTTCTGCTCAACTTTAAGTGTCTCTTTCCTCCTACTGGCTTTGGGTTTGGTTTTTATTGTTTTTCCGTTTTTTATTGTTTTTCTGAGATGCATTGTTAGGTTGTTTATTTGGTATCTTAATTTCTTTTTCTTTCTTTCATTTTTCTTTCTTTGTTGATATGGGTACTTTACTGCTGTAAACTTCCCTTCTGAGAAATAACTAAATAAACTTCCCTTTCTGTATTGCTTTTACTGTCTCCTAGAAATTTTGGTGTGTTGGGGCTGGCACTGTGGAGAAGTGGGTTAGACTGCCATCTGCAGCACTGGCATCCCATATGGGCACCAGTTAGAGTTCCTGCTGCTCCACTTCCAATCCAACTCCCTCCCAATGCACTTGGAAAAGTAGTAGAGGATGACTCAAGTGCTTGGGCCTCTGCACCTATGTGGGATACCCAGTCAAAATTCCTGGCTCCTGGTTTCTGCCTGCCCCAGCCCCAACCACTGCCACCATCTGAGGAGTGAACCAGCAGATGGAAGATAGTCTCTCTCCTCCCTCTCTCTCCTTGTTACTCTGACTTTCAAATAAATAAGTAAATCTTTTTAAAAAGATGTGTATTGTATTTCCATTTTCATTAGTTTCATTTGTTGTTCAGTTCTAATTTTATTCCATGTGGTCAGAAAAGATACATGATATGATTTCAACATTTTTTATTTGATGAGACCCTTTGTGGCCTAATATATAGCCTATCCTTGAGAATTCTCTATGTGTACTCTGAAGTTATTGATGGAACATTCTGTAAATGTCTGCTAGGTCAATTTAGCCACGAGTGTTAAGTTTGACTTTAATACTACTTTGTTGGCTTTTTTGTCTGGATGATCTGCCCACCAATGCAAATGGGGTGTGGAAGCCACCCTCGTGTTGGAGTTAGCTCTCCCTTTAGATGTAGTCATTGTTGTTTCATGAAGCCAGGTGCTCTGAATTTAGTGCACACGCAGTCATGTTCCTCATTTCTTCTTGCTGAGTTGATCCTGATCATTATACTGTGATCATCTTTGTTTCTTTCTACAGTTTTTGTCTTTTTTAAAAAAAGATTTATTTATTTATTTAAAAGGCAGAGTGGGGCAGGGGCATGGAGGCAAGGATACAGAAAGAGAGAGAGCGAGATCTTCCATTTGCTGATTCACTTCACAAGTAGACACAACAACCAGAGCTGGGCCATGCCAAAGCCAGGAGCCTGCAGTTCCATCTGGGTCTCCCACATGGGAGGCAGGGGCCTAAGTACATCCCCCTCTTCTACTGTTTTCCCAGGTGAGTTACCAGGAAGTTGGATTGGAAGTAGAGCAGCCAGTCCTTGAACTGGTGCTCATATGGGATGCCAACATCACAAGCTGTGGCTTAACCTGGTGTGCCACAATGCCAGGCCCCAGTTTTTGTCTTTAAGTTTGGTTTGTCTGATAGCAATATAGCTACTCCTGCTCGTTTTTTGTTACATTTGCATAGAATAACTTTTGCCTCCCTTTCACCTTCATTAAGGGTTTGTCTTTATTTTTGAAGTGAGCTTCTTATAGGCAGCATATCACTAACAGTTGGCTTTTTGTTCTTTACTTAATCTGTGCCTTTATTGCAGAATTTAGTTAATTAACACTCAAAGTTATTAATGGCAAATGATGGTTTAGTCCTGTCATTGTTTTTGGTCAAAATTTCTTTTATTTTGAATATTCTTGGTCTTTTTTTTTAAAGGATTTCATGCTTTCATAATTTTCATAATGGTAGTTGTGTTCTTTCTGTATGAATTTGGGACACAAATAAACATCTTTTAAAAAGTTGATCTGGTAATCATGAATTCCCTGCATTTGCCTTGAAAAACTTTTATTTATGAAAGATAGTTTGCTAGATAATGCGTTTTTTGCTGACATTCTTTTCTTCCATAACATGGAATATATAATTATGTTCCCTCTTTGCTGAAAGATTTCTGATGAAAACTATGCTGTTATTGTAATGGGGATTCCTTAAAAGTAACCTTGCTTTGTGTTGTACTTTTGAAAATTTGACAATTATGTGTCATAGGAAGAATTGTTTCTGGTTATGTCTGTTTGGGGTGCTTTGGACCTATATTTAGATGTTCATATCTTTCACCAGATGGAAGAATTTTCAGCTATTATTTCCTTGAATAGGCTTCTGTGCCTTTTCTCTTATCCTCTCCCTTGTGAAATCCAATTATGTGAATTTCAGTTCATTTACTGGTATCCTACTCAGCTCCAGTGTTG